TCTCTCTCTCTCTCTCTCTCTCTCTCTCTCTCTCTCTCTCTCTCACGCACGAACGATAACGCGTTTGCGCGTTTGCGCGATATCGCGCGCGGACAAGGGCGCTGCTACATACGGGCAGAAAAACACGCGGTCGAAGGGGTGATGATAAGTATATGATGATGCGGCGGTGGGCCATCACAACGTTTGTCCGCTTTAATTAGAGTGAGGTATCAGCAGGCATAGCACTCGATGCCTAGCTCCCAGATATCTCACCGTTTGGTCATTCAAACTGTTAATCTGTGGTTAACTTTGTGACAGAGTTCCTCAATCTTGAAAACAAACCATTATCACTCCTGAAGAAAGCCGTTGCCGCTTCGCCTGAGCATATATACCACCACTGCTCGTGCTCCCCCAGTGTTCCATCAACCAAACCAACTTCTTTCAAGTGTTTCGTGTACGCGTTTAATCACACGCTTTTAAGTGTTCAATCAACTTAACCAGCTCCTGAAAAAGAGTTAAATCTACGCACGTAACCGAGCGTCTGAGTGTTCAATCAAGCAACCAACCAACTTCTTACACGTGTTCAATCTACGTGCTTAATCAAGCTTTTAAACACTTTTTAATTACGTAGTTAATTGTAAGTGTTCAATCAACTAACCAGATTCTTGAAAGAGTTAAATGTACGCGTTGAATCGAGCTTTTTTCTAAGTATTTCTTTTAATTAATTAACTAACCACCTTCCTTTAACTGAGTAATCGAAGCGTTTAATCTAAGGTAGGCTACCAGGCGGGGGGTCCGGGTCAACCTGTTTTCCCGGGCGGCCCGGCCGTGCAAGGACCAGGGAAGGTCCCAACAAAAACAAAAAACGAAATCTTAAAAATCCGAAAAAAAACTATGTTATGGAAAAAAATAAACTGAACAACCTTTGCCTCAGGGTCACATCGAAATTCTTTACCGAATATATAACAAAAAATTAAATTAAATTAAATGATATTTTTTATTTATATTTTTTTGGCCCGGCCGGGCAAGTGGTCCCGGGTCACTCTGGTAGCCTAGAATCTAAGAGTTTAATAATCTGTGGTGTCCAACCAAAAAAAAAAAGCGTCTAAATGCTCAATCAACGAACCACATTCTTCCACGTGGCGTCTAAATGCTCAATCAACGAACCACATTCTTCCACGTGGTTAATAAGGTAGTAACTAATCAAGTTTGTAAGTGTTCATTCAATCAACAAACCTGCTTCTTCCTAGTGTTTAATCTAAAAGTGTTTACTCTGTGTCCCCATCCAATCAACCTTCTCGGAGTGTTCCCTGAACTAACCAATCAACCTTCTCTGAGTGTTCCCCGAACTAACCAATCAAACGTCTCTGTGCTCAATGAAATAACCAGCTTCATCAAGTATCCAATCAAGGAACACCAACTGTTCAATCCACTACCGTCTTCACCCATATAGAACGCCCAGTAATCATTGCTGCACCCGGACTGAAAGTTGCATCAAATACACAGCTATAACGACCGGGCGTTATATTCGGGTCAAGACGATAGCTAGCTTTATCTACATCGTCTTAATCGAACTGTTTCTGATCTAAATGTGTATTTCTTATTTAATTATTTACTGTAATATCTAAGTGTCCAATCAACTAACGACCTCCTGATTTCGAAAAAAAAAAAAAAAAAAACTAACAATCAACTACCGACAACAAAGCCTGGACTTCCTAGAGAGCTCTCTAAGACGATTAACATAATTTTTTTAACTCTAAAAATGGTCACCATAGCCATTGCCGACAAGCGAGAGCGTGCTTCCCACCTTTGCCGCCATAGAGGGGGGGGGGGGGGGGGGGGG